TGATGTTGTATGCTAAGTCGACTCAGTCATGTCCGACTCTTTGTGACCCCATGAACCATAGCCCTCCAGGCTTCTCTGTCCATGGGATTCTCTAGGCAAGAATATTGGAATGGGTTGCCATTTCCTTCTCCAGGGGACTTTCCCGACCCAGGGATTGAACTCATGTCCGTTATGTCCCCTGCATTACAGGCAGGTTCTTTACCACTAGTGCCACCTGGGAAGCCAAGTGAATGATGTTAGTTGTGCACGTTTCACATATGACCTGCATTATATTGAGGTAATTTCATTCTATTCCCACTTTGCTGGTTGTTTTTTTTATCATGAAAGGGTGTCTAACTTTCTCAAATGCCTTTTCTGCATCTACTGAAATGATCATATGATTTTATCTTTCATTCTATTAATGTGGTATATTGCACTGATTGATTTTTGCATGTTGAATGATCATTTGTATCATCATTGATTTTTATATGTTGAACCATCCTTGCATTCTAGGGATAAATCCCACTTGGTCATAGTGTATAATTCTTCTAACGTGCTCTTGAATTTAGTTTGCTAATATTTTGTTGAGGATTTTTACATCTGTGTTCATCAAGGATATTGGGCTTCAGTTTTCTTTTCTTGTAGTGTCTTTGGCTTTGTTATCAGGGTAATCATTGTTGTTCAGTTGCCCAGTCATGTCCAACACTTTGTGACCCCATGGACTGCAGCACACCAGGCTTCTCTGTCCTTCACCATCTCCCCAAGCTTGCTCAAACTCATGTCCCTTGAGTCAGTGATGCCATCCAACCATCTCATCCTCTATCATCTCCTCCTCCTCCTGCCTTCAATCTTTCCCACCTTCAGGGTCTTTTCCAGTGAGTCAGTACTTCTCATCAGGTGGCCAAAATATTGGAGCTTCAGCTTCAGTCCTTCCAATGAATATTCAGGGTTGATTTTCTTTAGGATTGACTGGTTGGATCTCATTGCAGTCCAAGGGACTCTCAAGATTCTTCTCTAACACCACAGTTCAAAAGCATCAATTGTTTGGTGCTCAGTTTTCTTTATGATGGTCCAGCTCTCACATCCATACATGACTACTGGAAAAGCCATAGCTTTGACTATATGGACCTTTGTTGGCAAAGTGCTTTTTAATATGCTGTCTAGGTGTGTCATAGCTTTTCTTCCTAGGAGCAAGCATCTTTTAATTTCATGGTTGCAGTCACTGTCTGCAGTGATTTTGGAGTCCAAGAAAAAATGCTGACCTCTTAAAGTGAATTTGGAGGTGCTCCCTCCTCTTCCATTTTTTGGAAGAGTTTGCAAGGAGTTGACATTAATTTTTTAATTTTTTTTTGGTAGGGTTCTCCTTTGAAGTTATCTGGTCCTGGGGTTTTTTCATTGGGAGGTTTTGATTACTGATTCAGTCTCCTTACTTGTTATAGCTATGTCTAGGTTTTCTATTTATATTTAGTCTTGGTAGGTTGTATGTATCTCAGAATTTATCCATTTCTTTTAGGTTTTCCAATTTGTTGGTATATGGTTGTTCATAGTAATCTCTTATAATCCTTTTTATTTCTGTGGCACCCCTAGTAATGTCTCCTCTTTCATTTTTTATTTTATTTGAGTCTTCTCTTTTTTTCTTAGTCTAACTAAAGGTTGTCAGTTTTATCATTTCAAAAGCTCTTAGTTTTATTGATCCCCCCCCCATTTTTCTATTTCATTTATTTTTGCCCTAATTTTTATTATTTCCTTCTGCTAACTTTGGGCTTAGTTTTTGTTTTCCTAGTTCCTTAAATGTATAAAATTAGGCTGCTTATTTGAAATTTTTCTTCTTTTTTAAAAAAAATATTCATTTTATTTTTGGCTGTGCTGGGTCTTTGTTGCTGTGAGCAGGCTTTCTCTAGTTGCAGTGTGCAGGCTTCTCATTGTGTTGGCTTCTCTGGTTGTGGAGCACAGTCTCCAGAGAGTGCAGACTTCAGTAGTTGTAGTGCACCGGCTTAAGTCGTCATGAGGCATGTGGAATCTTCCTGAACCAGGGATTAAAACTGTGTCTCCTGCATTGACAGGCAGTTTCTTAACCATTGGGCCACTAGGGCAGTCCTTTCTTCTTTTTAATTGTAGGCTTGTAACACTATAAACTTCTTTCTCAACACTTTGCTACACTTCTTTGCTACATCCCAAGTTTTGGTATGTTGTATTTCATTTTTGTTTGTCTCAAGATATTTTCTAATTTCCCTTTTGATGTCTTCTTTGAGCTATTGGTTGTTCAAGGGCATTTTAATTTCCACATATTTGTGAAATGTCTATTTTTCCTTCTGCTACTGATTTCTAGTTTCATTCCATTGTGGTCAGAAAAGATGCTTGGTATGATTTCAGTCTTCTTCAGTTTGTTAAGACTTGGTTTGTGACCTAACATGTAATCTATGCTGGAGAATGTTAAAATTTTGCTTGAGAAAAATGTGTATTTTGCTGCTGTTTGTGGAATATTTTGCTATGTCTGTTAGGTCTGTTTGATCTATATCATTGTTAAAGTCCTCTGTTTCCTTGTTGATCTTCTCTCTGGATATTTTATTCACTATTGAAAATGGGATATTGAACTCTCTTACTATTATTGTATTTCCGTCTGTTACTCTTCAGTCCTGTCAATGTTTACTTCGTGTATTTGGGTAGTCTGATGTTGGGTACATATCTATTTATAGTTATTATATCTTCTTGTTGAATTGACCTTTATTATTATAAAATGTCTTTCTTTTACTCTTATGACAGTTTTTTACATGAAGTGTATTTTATGTAACTTAAGTACGGCCATTCTTGCTCCCTTTTGGTTACCATTTGCACAGACTATCTCTTATCTTTTCACTTGAAAGTAAAAGGATATGTGTTTCACAGCCTATGTGTGTTCTTAAAGTGAGTCTCTTGTAGACAGCATATGATTGGATCCTGTTTTGTTTTTAATTTCATTTAGCCACTCTATAGCTTTTGATTATGGAGTTTAATCTATTTACATTTAAAATAATTGCTTATAAAAGAAAGATGTGCTATTTCCAGTTTGTTCATTGTTTTCTGTCTGTCTTCTAGCATTTTTTGTCCCTCTCTTGCTGTCTCCGTGTTTCACTGATTTGTTTTAGAGACATGATTTGGTTACTTTGTCAGTTTTGTTTGTGAATCTAGATGTCCATTGCCTTCCTTAGACCTGGGGAGTCTGGAGTCATTCTTTCTTCAAATAAGCTTTCTGCTCCTTTCTTTCTTTATCCTCACCTTCTGGACTTCCACAGTGCATATATTAATCCATTTGATGGTGTTCCATATGTCCCTAGACTTTCTTCACTTAAAAAAAAATTTACTTCTCCAACCATAATGGATAATTTCAAATGGCCTATCTTTGAATTTGATGATTATTTCTTCTCCATAATCAAGTCTGTTGTTGAACACCTCTAGTGAATTTTACAATTCAGCTATTATATTCTTTAGCTTCAAATTTTCTGTTAGGTTCTTTTTAATATTTCCTGGCTCTTTATTGCTAGTCTTATTTTTTCATATGTCATTTTAAAATTTTCATGTATCATTTTCCTGGGCTCATTAAGCATCCCAGAGAGTCTTTTTTTTCTTTTCCATTATGGTTTATTACAGAATATTGAATATAGTTGCCTATGCTATACAATAGGACCTTGTTGTTTAACCATGCTATATATAATAGTTTGCATCTGCTAGTCCCAAACTCCCAATCCAGCCCTCCCCTGCATCCCATCCACCTTAGCAGCCACAAGTTTGTTCTCTATGTCTGTGAGTTTGTTTCATTTTTGTAGATAAGTTCATTTGTGTCATATTTTAGATTCCACAGATAAGTTATATATATGATATTTGTCTTTCTCTTTCTTACTTTGCTTAGCATGATAATTTCTAAGTCCATCCATATAGCTGCAAATGCATTATTTCATTCTTTTTTATGACTAATATTCCATTGTATATATATATGTGTGTGAATATATATATACCACATCTTTTTTCCAGGCATCTGTTCATGGACATTTAGATTATTTCCATGTCTTAGCTTTTGTGAATAATGCTGAAATGAACATAGAGTTGCAGGTATCTTTTCACATTACAGTTTTGTTTGGATGTATGCCCAGGAGTGGGATTGCTGGATCATCTGGCAACTCTAGGTTTTTAAAAACCTCCATACTGTTCTCCACGGTGACTGCACGGATTTACAGTCCCACCAACAGTGTAGGAGGTTCCCAGAGAGACTTAAAGATATGGATTCCCACCCAGACCTTACTGGCAGAGATTCTAATTCAGTATTCTGGAGTGGGGCCTGGAAAGCTGTATTCCTGAAAGGTCCACAGGTGATTTATATGTACATCTAGGTTTGGAAACCACTTCCAGTTAAAGGATTACCATCAAGCTCTCCCAACTCCAGTTCTCTCCAGGATGCCACCATCTGCCCACATGTATTGTGTCTCTTCGTATCATTTGAGGCACTAAAGATATTTCTTTTTCTAGGGAACCTTCCTGGATTGAATCCTGTTTAACCATAAGTTTCTTATGACTGCTCCAGCCCTCACCAACCTGAAATGGGCCTACACTTTCCATTTTTGTATTAATTTGACCTTTCCATTCTTTCCACTTGTTATCTGTGATTGAGCCATTGCTGGCTAGAAATATTTTGTCTTGATCACCTCATATTATTTGATTACAAAAAGGTGGTCAGTGTAGTAGAAATGGGAACCCAAGTTTGAGTCTGATTCTACCAGGGTATGACCTTGGACAAGTTGCTTTCCCTGTCTGAACTTCAGTTTCCTCATCTGTGAGATGAGTTGTGAATAAATGGTCTCCGTGATCCTTCCCTTTGGACCCTAAATCTATCCTTCCTCCCCTTGGATCCTAACTCTATCCTTCCTCCCCTCATACACTCCACAGCTCAGAAAGTGGAGCTCCAGAAACACACCTGGAATTCTGCCCAAAGTCAGAGAAACCAGAGGGTCCACCAGTTCTCCCTCTTACCTCCCTTTCCAGGAGCAGCCATGGCCCTAAGTGATTTCGATGTGCAAAAGCAGATTAAGCACATGATGGCTTTCATTGAGCAGGAAGCCAATGAGAAGGCAGAAGAAATAGATGCCAAGGCTGAGGAAGAGTTCAACATTGAGAAAGGACGCCTTGTGCAAACCCAACGACTGAAGATTATAGAGTATTATGAGAAGAAAGAGAAGCAGATAGAGCAGCAGAAGAAAATCCAGATGTCTGCCTTGAGGAATCAGGCAAGGCTGAAAGTCCTGCAAGCCCGAAATGACCTCATCTCAGAGTTGCTGAATGATGCAAAGCTGAGACTCAGCCAGATGGTGACAGACCGAAAATTTTACCAGGGGCTCCTGGATAAACTAGTGCTCCAGGGTCTGCTCCGACTGCTGGAGGCTGTGATGATTGTACGCTGCAGGCCACAGGACCACCTCCTGGTGGAGGCTGCAGTGCAAAGAGCCATCCCCCAGTACACCACAGTCTCCCACAGATGTGTGGAAGTTCAAGTTGACAAAGAGGTGCAACTGGCTACAGACACAATTGGAGGTGTGGAGGTCTACAGTAGCGATCAGAGAATAATGGTTTCTAATACTCTGGAAAGTCGACTGGATCTCTTAGCCCAGCAAAAGATGCCAGAAATACGAAAGGCCTTGTTTGGAGCCAATGACAGCAGGAAGTTTTTTGTATAAGCCTCTGGAAACTGAAGCTCCTGTTGAACTTCTAAGCCATAAAAGTATAACTCATTAGGGCAAAGCAAACTGGTAATATCTCCTCCTCTGTTTTGCTCTGGGATTAGTCTGTCTTTATAAAATACTCTCTGACTAGCTAAAGGCATTATACTTTGGAATAAAGCCTGACTTAATGCTTATAAATCTAATTGCATTTTATCTATACATTCTAGAGCTCCTGGTCAATTCTACAGTCTGGGCTGAAAGAAGTAGAGACATCTACATGGTCGCAAAGAGGGGGACACGACTGAAGCGACTTAGCATGCACACCCACACAAAACTCTTTTTCTTGTGTAGAGGGTCAACTTCATGGGTGTATGATGAGTGCAGTCACACAGAGCTCCATGCTCAGAATTGCCCAGCAGCTGGGGTCTATGACAGAGGATGAGATGGTTGGATGGCATCACCGACTCAATGGACATGAGTTTGCATAAGCTCCAGGAGTTGGTGATGGACAGGGAGGCCTGGCGTGCTGCAGTCCATGGTGTCACAAAGGGTCGGACACAACTGAGTGACCGAACTGAATTGAAGTGGCATCTAATGCTCTGTAGCTAACCGTCTTGAAGTTCTTCATTTTATCTTTGTATGTGTGATTTATAAATGAAGTCCTAACTCTTGAAGTCTACGCATCTCTCTGGGATGGGTTCTTGACCACCCACTTCTCAGCTCCCTGATACTCCAAGATCCTGCCTTCCTCTCCCTCAACCAGTGAACACTAGTGCCCTCTGCCCCTGGTTAGGGCCCAGTGTATGCAGGGAAGGTCTGTATCCTTCATAGAAGCTTAGGGCTGGACATAACAGTGGCCATCTCTGCCCCAGGTTGGCAGCTCCATGGCACATCCAGCAGGCAACTTGGTGAGCGTGGGTTTCTTACCCACCAGATACTGAGCACATCTCAGTGTGGAGGTAATGACCCTGAGATTCACCTGCCTACTGTGAATTGGATCAGCCAGCTTATTGGAATGGGAGATGCGTGGCTTGACTTCCCTGATGCTTGGCACAACACATAGATCTGGGGACTGGTGGGAAGGAGGGCATAACATTTGTTAGGGTTGCTGGACCTGAGTCTCAGGGTGGGACTTTCAGAAGCTTATGAGGGTCTGTACTTGCCTTGTAAAGTGTCCTGTGCCTGGTGGAGTCCTCCATTAGACAACTTAGTGAATGGGGGAACTTGGGCTCATCTCATCTCTTGTTGCCAGTTGGATGCATCTTCTGGGAGAAGCCAAGAAATACAGTCATTTTGGTGATTCTCCAAGTGGGCATTGCACAATATAAAGATAAATGATAAGATTCATGCTCAGTATTTTATACTGTAATTTTTATTTACCCAGACATTAAATAGCAAATAAACACCATGACAAGCTGAAAGAGAGACTGGAGAAATAAGTAAAAAGCTTTATAAGTATTTCTGTGCCTTTAACTGTACTTTGGGCTTCTCTGATAGCTCAGTTGGTAAAGAATCCGCCTGCAATGCAGGAGACCCTGGTTAAATTTCTGCATTGGGAAGATCCACTGGAGAATGAATAGACTACCCACTCCAGTATTCTTGGGCTTCCCGTGTGTCTCAGCTGGTAAAGAATCTGCCAGCAATGCGGGAGACCTGGGTTCGATCCCTGGATTGGGAAGATTCCCTGGAGAAGGGAAAGGCTACCCACTCCAGTAGCATGGCCTGGAGAATTCCATGGACTATAGTCCATGGAGTTGCAAAGAATCAGACACAACTGATCGACTTTCTCACTCAACTGTAATTTAAAATAAAAAAAGTTTTTAACTTATTTTTTGTCTGTGGTATATCTTCATTGCTGCATTTGAGGGCTGCTTTCTAGTTGCAGTACACGGGCTTCAGTAGATGAAGCGTACAGGCTCAAGCACACAGGCTCAATAGTTGTAGCATGTGGGCTTAGTTGCCCCGTGGCATGTGAGATCTTCCCAGACCAGGGATCGAACCCATGTCTCCTGCATTGCAAGGTGGATTCTTAACTGGACCACCAGGGAAGCCCTATACTTTTGAACAAAGGATCCCACAGTTTCATTTTACGTTAGGCCCCATAAATTATGCAGCTGGTTCTGCCTGTGTATGGTGATTTAAAGTCTAATTTATGCCTGAGTATGATTTTTGTATTAAAATAGAAGTTTTTTGAAGAAAAGAACCCTTAAGATATTCTACCAAGGGCAAAACTTGGCTTGTGTGGTCAGGAATTTGTAAGTAACAGAAATCCCATGAAGCTCAAAAACAGAATAGGAGGCAGGCTATCCATAAACAGGGTCACCTCACAGAAGCTTGGGACAGGCATCTGTTATAGTCTCAGGGGACAGCAAAACTGAGTATCAGAAAGCTTTATGAAGTCCTCTAGATGGTTACTTCATTCTCCTTTTTTAAAGAATGACATTTTACCGTCCATTTTAGGTGGTAGAGTTTGCATTCCCCGTATACTTTATATCCCAGACTCTACATGATGTGGGCTTCCCTGGTGGCTCAGTGATAAAGAATCTGCCTGCAATGCAGGAGATGCAGGTTTGATCTCTGGTTCAGGAAGGTCCCTGTAGAAGGGCATGGCAACCGCTCCAGTATTCTTGCCTGGAGCACCTCCATGGACAGAGAAGCCTGGAGGGATCCATGGGGTCGCAAAAAGTCAGACACAACTCAGCAACTAAGCATGCATGCACTACATGTTGTAGTTTCAGAAACAAATTTGCTTTTCTTAGAGTCACTTCCTCTTTTCTGAGAAGGAGTCCGTTTGGCCCAGCTCAGATCAGATGTCCATCTCCAGTCCAGTTGATGTCTGGGGTCAGTTCTATGAAAAAAGGGTGTCTTTGTTAGCTGGACAGACTCCTTAAAAGATGTCATCTTTGTGGGCCCTTTTGAATTGCAAACTCAGTCATTCATTGAAAATTTTCTGAATGCCAGGAATGAGCCAGGCACTGCGCTGGCTGCTCGGCTGCAAAGAATACCATCTGGCCCTGTTCTTTCATTAGTTACAGACACGTTCACAGATGATAACTTGGTGATGAAACAATGCAGAAGTGCCGTATACAGCATGCTGTGGAAATACAGTAGTAGGTGGAAGGAAAGGGTCACAGAAGGCTCTGGGGTGTTGGCAGTTGAACTGGGGAAAAGAACTTCAGGTAAAGGTGGGAGTGATGGGTGGGGAGAGCATTTGGAAAGTCCCTGACATGTGTAAAAGCAAATTGTGTTTGAGGACCTGTGTGTAGTTCAGTGTGATGGAGTGTGGGAGTGACAGGAAGTGACATGGATGAGGCTGAAAAGATGGACGGAGCCTCATTACATGGTGCTGTGTGCCCTGCTCAGGAATTAGATGAATTCGGGTAGGGGAGGCAGGGTGTAGGTGATGAGGGGTCATTGAAGGACTTTATTTATTTTAAATATTTGACCGAGCTGCGTGGCATGCGGGATCTTAGTTCCCTCACCAGGCATTGAACCCACACCCCCTGCACTGGAAGGGTCTTAACCACTGGTCCGCCAGGGAAATCCCAGAGAGCTGGACTTTCAAAAGATTCTTCTAGAGCCACAGTATGTGGAGGACACACTGGAGAAAGGGAGAGACTGCAGGCAGGGGCCCATTGGAAACTGTTCATCAGCCCAGGTGAGAGATGGCAAATAATCTCCGCATCTTTTTGGTGAGGTAGCTTAAATTCTTTGATACACAGGCTAGAAGAGGTCAGAGTCAGTGACCTGTGTCCTACCCATTCTCACCCCCCTTCCTTCCATCCCAATAAATCCTTTCATTGTCCAGGGCTTGAGACTTTCCATCACAGTTTCACACCATCTGACAAGTCCCACTGGACACCCCCCCAAGTCCACCCCCTTCTCTCCCAGCCATCATTCCAGGCCCAGCAAAGAAAGCATTCCCTTCCCAGCTGCCTGAGCCCCCAGCCGCCTCCCCTCCTGGGGACTCTAACCCCACTTCAAGCTCTATAACCCAGGAGTGCCTGACCCCCCTGGCCAACCCCAGTTCTGACCTTCTGAGTTGGACTCAATCTATTATTGGGGCCCCAGCGATCATCCATGTCCCCCAGATTGACATGAGTTCATCTCTGCAAACTCGTTTTAATGAAAGGTTTTGGGGAAAGTCGAGAGCTTTACAAAATTTCTCCCTGTCCCACTTCAATGTGTCTCTGTTTTCCAAAATGTCTCTTCCAGAGCTGCCTGATTCTCTCTCTCTCCCCAGCCTCCTTCTCAACCTCTCAACCTGTGTGTTCCAGTCTACACTGTCATAATGTTCCCCTCCACAAAACAAAAACCGGTGGTGGACCAAGCCTGCCCTCCCAGCCCCTGGTTGCCAGGAACCACAGCCCCGGTTGATGAGATCTTTCCCTTCATTGCCTTTATTTCCGGTCAGCAGCTTTGTCTGCTTGGCCCACCATCTTTTTCAACACAGCTCTTTGTGGGCAGGACTGTGTCTTCATCCTTCTCTGTGGTCCTTGCTGCCCTGTTGTTTTATTGCTGACACTGGGGGTGCACGTTGTAGGGTCTGAACAGACATTTATGCTTGTCACAGTCTTCTGCCCTGGCCTGGCGCTAGTCGCTGGATGGAGGCTTCCAGCATCTGTCTCTTCTTCAACTATGGATTGTGCCATTGAAAGGGGTGCTTAGTTGAGGTGTGGGCCGGGCAAGGCTCCCCACCCTGTAACACAGGGATGGTGTTTGATAAGAGAATCCCTCTCTCCTGCTCCTGGTGGGGAAGGCTGTAGATGCGTGGAGACTGAACTCAGTCAGGACTCACTTCAGTCAGGGTCGGTTCCTTCTGGACAAATCTGGGTTTTATTGCGTCCCTTCCCTCCCTGGGAAACAAACAGGGGGAGGGGCTTGCTTTGGACCTGGGTGCGAAGGTAGGGGGCTGTGGATGAGCTAGGTCCTCCGCCATGAAGGGGCACCTTTCTGTAGCCCCCAAGCCTGCCCTCGACCTGCGGGGGTGGGTTGCTGGTCAACATCCTGTCCTT